TTTTTCTCGCTGGAGCAGAAAGAGAAAAGTTCCTGAGTTTAATCTATGTTAGGAAAATCCAAATCTCGTAATACTGGACAAAATGAAAGCTTTTCAGATACAAGGTAATGAATGATGAATGCTGAAGGGTACCAGAATGTACCACCCCAAATACACCTCTTTGGCATATGGATTATTTTGAACTGAATGTCATTGAGAACCCGCAGAGGAAAGAAAAGCTCTAAAAACAGAGCACAAGTTTTCCTTTTGTAAAGGAAATTTACATTTAAAAAGGAAACTTTTCTTTGTAAAGTACTCAACAACTCTTATCAATAGAGAAAGCACTTCTTAAATATGCATAACAAACCTTACTAAATGATTCTTTTTCTTTTTTTAACCATACTTCCCCTGGTCACACCCCCTTAATTGCCTCCTTTGCTCCAAAGCCCCAAACTCCTTTACCTCTGTGTAGCTTGAGATAAACCCAACTTCTCATCACCCCTTTGAGTTACTCTATGTTAGGTGCTCCCAGGGTACATTTGTGATACAAATAATAATAAACTTATCTCTGATTAAACTCTCTCTGGCCAGTATAATTTACTGGGCCCCACACTGGAGAATCTCAGATGGGTAGAGGAAATTAATTTTTTCTTCCCCTACAATCCCACACTTAGTAGCATGCATAAATAACATGTGACATGAGTACATGGGTTTGGTAAAATCACATTTCCTTGCAGGAACCCGGACGATTATTGGAGAAATGGCCTTGGAAGTCCCCCTTGAGCAGAACAGAGCTTGAACTTCTGGCAGGTGGAAGAGAACATCAACTGAATGTAATCATTACAGTCAAAAGTACAGTGGGGAGAAAGCATAGGACATGCCTGGAGAGAGGACTGGAAAGTCAGTCAGTGCTAGGGACAGCTTGTGGATGTCTTTGACTGGCAAACCAAGGGGACTTCAGTGAGCTGGGCTAGGGGATGTGTGGAGAAGTGATATTAAAACGTTCTGGGAGAGAAGTCCATGAGATTTAAAGCAGAAGCAGTGGGAAAGGAGAGAAGACAGATGGCCTGGATTGAAAGAGGTCCAGTGATTAATGGTGCTGGATGTAAGGAGAGCGCAAAGCAGCTGCCAGTTCCTGGTGGAACAATCAGCTGGCATCAGAGCAGGGCTCAGCCCAGAGCCTCAGGCTCTTGTTCTGCCCCAAGGATCAGTGTGTGGTGGTGGTGGTGGTTGTTT